TCGATACTTGTACCCTTACGAAATCTACTGCAGCTACGTATCTGCATGAAATAAACTTTAGAACGAGATAGCTAGTGTGGGGCCGTACCTCATCTTTGTCTAGTAGAAGTAGTGTGGGTAACAGAAGAGTAGGGGAATGATAGAGGTTAAAGGATGAGCACAGTAGCCATATTGAATTTTTGCCCCACTTCAGACATTGATAGACGGAGAGAGAATAAGGTCCGAAGTATGTTGTCTTTTTCTAAAGTCTGTGCACTTTTGGGACTCGGTATAGTAGCGATTGTAAATTTGAATCGCTGCGCTTGCCCGCACCGTTAAAAGAGGGGAAACTTGTTTGCGAGATGGACGAAAAACGGAAGGCTGCGGGGGGGGGGGGATCGATTTTTTGTCGACGTTTCGTGGCTGCCCTGAACAGTATCGTTGCGAGGCGAAGAAATGAAATGATGTGAAAAAGATGCGAGATACGAATGCGGAACGAATGAACGTGTAAATACGCGCGTGGTCGATTCTTAGGTAAAGGAGGCGCGTCGCTTTTGTTCGCGCCGCTGGTATCGATATTAACGAGAATCGATTCGTCGTGCCAGATGAGGCCCCCGCGCCACCACGCCGCTGCTCGTCTCCGACTGCCTACCAGTCTACCCTAATCGTTTGGTCTCGGGGGTCTTCGAATGCCCGAGTAGTCCGAGTTTTTCGGAGCGTCGTCCTCGCGTTCCCGCTCGCGCGCCTTTTCTGTCGAGAGCGTCGTAAGAGCGCGACCGATCGGTGAATCGATCGACTTTGTACGGAATATGAGATTCCGTCGAATGCCGCCGTTTGATGTCCGCCGTTTAATTATGCCCTCTCACTCAAAAAGCCGAGAGTCAATATCGCGTGGACGTAAGGGAAAAGAAGGCGCGCGAGAGGAACGCGGAGAGAGAACCGGAGAGACGGAAAGGTGGAAAGAGAGAGAATGCGGGAGAGAGAGAGAGAGAGAGAGAGAGAGCGCCACGAGAGCACCTTCGGGGGAAATCCAGTCACGAGGAAGGGAATGTGCAAATGCCATCGCGAACGCTGAGCCACCGCAATTTCGTTCTTGTAATGGAGTCTCCCGAGGAAAAAGACCCCGAGCGAGCAAGATATTGTAATTGCGTTATCATGAGAAAAGTTTACGATGCACGCAGGAAAGGGCTCTCATATTATCTCGCAAGACTGTTACACATACAGTTTTTTTTCTTTACCGATATTATAACGATTTATCGTTGTAACAGCAGATGCTTGACGATTTATTTTATTGCGTCACAAATCATGCATATCACATTATATAATTCCTCTCTGTCTTGCCTCTTTCCTTTTTCTTGCGTGCGTATATGTATAAAACGTTTCTGGACGAATTACCGATCGTATCAGTTTTTATTGCATTGGAAAATTAGCTGTTTGAATTGACGAGTCACGAGGATCCTACTGCAGAAGAATGTAAACCCCTGGAACGACGCGTCTCGTTTAATATGGTAACTCGAGGAGAAGAGGAGAAGCCCTTGTGAAATTTCTTGGCGGAATCTCTGACCGAAATTCCAGCTCGAAACCTCCCAAGTTCGCACCTTGCGCGAAATCGATACCGCCTGAAAATTTCTCTAGTGCGACATTTCTATCGTCATCGCTTACAATCGCTTGCAAATACGCAAAACGTAATGACGAAAAATTACCTTTGATCGTCGTAATTGCTTCTGTCAATTTTATTCATCGTACGCATTTGTATTCAAAGGATATTTAATGATTATTATCCACTGACATAAATAGGGGTCATTATGAAATAGTAACCGCGGATTTGCCGACGTATCAATCATGAGGATGAGAGAAGATCGATTTTTTAAGTAGCCTCACGAAGCTACGGTTCCCTGAAATGATTTCGATGAATCGCTGCGGATCAGCGCTTCCTGCTGGATCGATTTACTTTCGCGTCGCTTTGATATTAATGCCACGGGCATCCTTCGCGGGCTTCTAGTATAATAACGTGATGGGCCCGACGGGTACGTGCTGGCCCGCGTTTTTACCACCACTCTGGCCCTAAGTCATGTCGTCGTCGCTGCTACATAGCCGCGGGAAGCGTAGTCGGATGTTCTATGAGGCATAAATTATGCGCGCCATTAGATGTTAACTGTGGTCCATGACCAGGTATGTATCACCGGGCAACCGCTGATACCGATAGATAAGCTGATACCGGGTATCGAGAGGACGAAGTACGCGTAAAGGAGAAAAGAGAGAAAGAGACAAAATTGTGTTTTTACATTGATCGAGATGCACGGGATGCATACCCGGATTTCCTCGTGGTGTTTTTGTTCCGCCTCTAATCGTCCCGTGTATGCTAACGAATATCCCGGCTCGTTTTAAACCAACTGATACGCATTTATCTTGCCGCGATCAACTATTCCAATCGATATCTAGGCGTGGTAAAAGACGCACGATGTCGTTGCGATGATTCAGTATCGATGGCAGCAGTGGTAATTTATTCGAAACAGTTTTCAGCGAGTGACAAAATTGGACGTTCCTCAAAATATTATTTTTCTAGCACAACTGCCCGCGTTCGTACAACTAAAATTAAAAATCCGGTACAGTGCTCGCAATAATATTACTTAATTGTGCGTATCAATGGAAAAAGATGATCTGTTTATATTATGGAAGTAAATCGATGCGACATGTTGCGTTTAATAAATAGTAACAAACGACTTATTGATATTAGTAATTGATTATCGTTTACCATGCCGGGGTACGTGTTCTCGCCAGTAATTGGTGGCATCGCATAACGTATCTCTCTTAGCGAGTTGTATCCGCGACGGATAAAACCGCACGCGAACCATCGATATCTCGCTATAATATCGACACCTCGCGCAACATGTCGCCGTGATAATTGCGGAGCAGTTCTATTAGCCCGGCTCTATCGCTCCGTTTTCTGTTCGCGGTCTCATTTCCCTTGATGTCGGCCTGCGTTGTACAAGGATCATTCAGAGTTGTTGATCGCTGCTCCTTATCGTCACTTAATTAATACGAGCGGTGTCTTATCTGCTGATGTGCCGCGCAGCGCTCGGTTTCTTCATAATCTCATTCTCAGAACTTTTACGATAGGAAAGGTCGAATAGTAGCCCGAAATAAATACACGAGGTGAGTATTTATTTGGATGAACGATACGCTTGATTAGCGAGGGGTAGACCAAAATCATGTACACCAATGCCTACTAATGCCCAGTGGGCATTACTTCATCTTATTTTATCTTTATAATGCAAGGTCTAATGCCAGGGTTGGTAAAATTCCACATTTTTTGGATAAAGTCTTACTAGACTAGGAAGCTTTGAGCAGAAAATAATTGCATAGTGTAAGAATTGGGAAGTCTATAATTATTTCAAGTCATATCTGTGTCGACAACGTTGAAATTAATTAACAACACTCGACCTTATATTTATTATAGTACATGTTTATACATATATTTATAAATACTTTTTAAACGCAAGCGTTCGTGCAAGAGACGATACATGTAATAAAAGGTTTCTCAGGTCACGACGAACCGTCGCGAATCCGTTAGCCATCGCGTGTCCAAATGTTTGTTTTGCCCGGCAGAATAAGAGCAGAAAGCGACGGATGAATAAAGTTCCATGATGTGCGGATAATCGAGCGTCATGCAAGGTCGGTTCGATCGATCCACCACCGATCTCTATCGATTCTCTTCTCCTTCCAAAGTTCAAGGGCCACGTAGAATCAGCTGACGTTAGAGATGATCCGCTCGAAAACAAAAATATCTAATTTCCATCCGACGGTCACTGCGAGATCGTAGCGTGTCTTCTTCCAAACGCCTCTCAACCCGGAAGCTTTCACGTCGTGCACTTCCCCGTATGGTCGGCGGCAAAATGTGAAACTGTCCGCAGTAACGGAACTGCGCGTTGCATCTTACCGTAATAAAAGTCCGCGTACGTAACGACACGGTCTCGGGCGTTTCCGCTTCTATTTGCTTACTATTTCTTCGCGCGATTTGACCGGAAGAAATCCGTCCTGGCGCATCGGAGCGTCAATTTCACGGCTATCGAAGCCCATCGCTTTATCCTTTCGGCGTGTCAGCCCGCGATCGCTCCTTACTCGGTCGGCCTCGGCCGCGCGATCGAAGCATAAATTCATAGAAGTGGTAAAACCGACGTCCGACACCGGCGGCGCGTCTCGATTTTTCACGCCGGCGGACGTGTTGCGGTAATGAGTTCCCTTTACAACCGTGCCACGAACATCACGCCTGTGTGCCGAGAACGATCGCGATCGCTGCGCGTCGTTTCTTTTCCGCCGCGTCGTCCGATCCTCCCGTTAAGCGCCGACTAGAAAATATCGCGACTCCTAGTCGCGATCATTAACGCTACCGATCGTAGTTATGCAAATGCATCCGAACGTCGCGAGCGCGATAGAGTAATAAAAGCTAATTACAGCGACGGAGAGTTTCACCGGTGCAGTCCGGTTGTCGATAGCTTAATCATTTAAATAATAACGCATCTGAAACGTCGCATACCATTAAGAGGCTGTTTAACACCTTCCGTTCGTATTAATTTTGACGTAATTATTTAGTGTCTTATCCGTTGTACAAATTATTTTTTTATTTATCAACGTGCACCCAGAAAAACAAGATTTATTTAGGTTAAACAAGTGAGGTACGTTGAATCGCGTTCCTTTGAATACTACTACATTTTATTCACTTCTACTGAAACATTCGCTAGATTTGAAGAAATAGATATGAAGTTTCTTAAGGTCTGCCGGGCCTTTAGAAATTTCTGTCTTAATCAAATAAAATGTTGGTAGAAGTAAAGAAATCATTTCTTCGAAATGAAATACAAAAGTCTAGTAAGGTGAAGATTCAAAGGAAATTCGTTTGATTTCAAACAAACTTTTCCGAGTGCGGACTCTTTATTTCGAGATCTAATTTCAGCGTCAAACTGTATGATCTTTAATTTTGCTTCTATAACAAAATAACATGTCGCGATCCTTTTGTCTTTCAGGATTCCGGGGCGATAATTGCGAGGAGAACATCGATGATTGTCAGGGGAACCTCTGTCAAAACGGTGCCACCTGCATGGACCGAGTGAACGAGTATTCCTGTTTGTGTCCACCGGCCTTCACGGGCACGCAATGCGAGCTGGATGTGGACGAGTGCTCGGTACGGCCGTCCTTGTGCCACAACGGGGCCACATGCACGAATTCGCACGGCAGTTACTCGTGTATATGCGTGAATGGCTGGACCGGGCCCGATTGCGGCGTCAACATCGATGACTGTGCAGGCGCGGCCTGCTTCAACGGCGCAACCTGCATCGACCGCGTCGGCAGCTTCTATTGCCAGTGCACATATGGAAAGACCGGTAAGTCGAGAATTATCTTCCGCGGAATGTTGATCGAAAGGTGTGCGGGAGGTACGACTGTAGAACATCGAGACAATGTTTTCTACAGCGTGTTTATTCGAGGCGTGTCTTCTCTAAACGAAGATCCGAGTGTATTCGGTACGTGTTTAAATGTGCGAAATAATTGTGAATTCACGCTTCGAATCGCAAGATTATATGATAATCAAAATGCGCATGTAAAAGTAGCAATATTAAGAATCATATTTTTTTTAACTTGCATACTTCGACTGTGTCAAAATGATGAAATTGTACTCGCCTCTTATTCGCAAGATGATTTTGAAAGATTTTTGCCAAGTTTAACAATTACTAAATCATCCCGAGTCGAAATTTTGGCCCTATGTTGAACCTTCAATTCTATTATACATTAGGACGTAAATCAGTAAAAAAGATCGAACTGCAAGTACAAAATTTACTCCTATAATACTTAAAAACTGGTAGTGTCGAAAATTTCTACTTTTGCCAATTTAGCATTAAAGTAGGTCCTTTTAAGCAGGAGCTAAAGTAAATTTTTAGAATTAAAGATTCAAGGGAGGAGTAAAAAAATATAATGTCATCAAAGTAGATTATTGCTGGTCTATGTAGGTGTAAATTATCCTTAAAAGTGTCAAAATGGTACCCGAATTTCGACTCGGGATAGACATTAGAACCGGCTAATTTCTTTCCGAGCATCAAACAAGCGAGAGCCCTTCAGGTCCGAGCAAGATGTTGGTAGCCCGATAATTGTAATCTAAAATGTGTGAATTCATATACCGTTTTCCACCTTGTCCCGCGCGTCGGTTTCTTTTCGGTCGAAACACAGTTTCATTTAGATGGAGTCATTGTCGTCAGTAAATTCACGTATTAAATCGACAAACGAGTCTTTCCGGGCATCTTCGTGCGCGAGATATTTTTTACATCGTAGCTATCATTGATATATTTTTATCGTACCGATTAAACGATGCATCCGACCCGAGCGAATTTTACTGACCGTCGCTCGAAAAATTCTGTCGACGGAAGTCGACGGGAGGCTTCGGAGAAGAGGAAACCGTGGCCGTTCTCTCTCCGGTTCAGTTTAGCGGGGTCGCGCGGCGCGTACTCGCGGGAGTGCAGGGTGATTAACTCGATACCGAGTATGGTCGAGAGGAGCCGGGAACTCGCGCTGCAACGCGCGGCGATGCATCGGCAGGTGCAATGCAGCCGCACATATGCGGCCGGGTATGATGCGCCGGTACACTATACCGCGTAGAGAGCGTAGAACCGGGTCCCTCGGAATCTCGAGATTCCGAAGACTCCCGGGGTCCCGGCTTCTCGCCGTGTGCCGACCTTGGCGACTGGAAACGAGTTTCTGTCCTTACTCGCCCTATCCCGCCGCCCTGCCGCGGAGTAGTCCGAGCAGAAAACGCTTTTCAGATCGATTCGCGCACGACGATCGCCAAATACAGGTATATTTCTCTCTCGCGGCCAGACACCGTCGCCATTCCTGGAAGCCGAGCGTTTATACCGAGCGGCTGCAATCATCGAGTCGCAGACGGCTCCACGTTTCACGTGGAGTCTGTTATTGATGAAGGGTGGTGTTATTCGTGAGAAATACTAATCGTTTAGCCAAGTAAACGAATAATTCTGTCGATTGGCTAGATATGCAATAATACGTTCGATTATTACATTCTTGAAGGTAGACAAAAAATTGTGTTTCATTCTGCATTCTAGTCGTTGCTTTCGACAATTAGAGAGAGAGAGGGGCGGGACTTGCAGTAGTTAACTAACACGCGATGCACAATGCAATACGCAAACATGTAATGGCTGCCTCTTGCGCTGCCTTCAGGCGTGCTTTCAGTTCAGTAGAGATGTACTTACAGTTAGTCGCGGGTGTGCTCTCGCATCTGCATGCATTTATTCTGGTTTATATATGAATATCCCGAGGACTTTGGGATACCGTTATTGGACGGGTCTCATAAATAAAAGTTCGTCCCGACGCACACGCGATTCGCTTCCCAAGGAAAATTACATACCGCGGTCAGCTTTCTCAATTTTGTATTGTCCTTCTTAGTTTACGATGGCAATTTCCTCAATTAGTCTTATAATAATTTGTACCGCTGCAGAACTTATCGTTGCCCGGGGGAAATCGGATAGTTACACGCGTTTTCCGCATTTTACAGTGCGCTATTTTCATATTTATGAATGAGAGATTTGTAATACCTGCACTGAGAAAAATGTCCGATTAAATATAATCGAATAACTCATTTGCACAATAACAAACGGATATGTCCAAATAAATTGTATATTCGATGAAAAATATGATCGGTTTTTCACTCAAATTTTATCGGCTACTGTACTTTATCGGAAAAATTGACCATCGGAAACACTATTTAATTGGTTTATCCGATGGAAATTTTTCTCAGTGTGGTAAAATATACATTGCGTATCTTTTTTTTATGATAGGTATATTACGAGGGGTAAACCGCTGACCAAAATCATTTACACCAATGTCTACTAATGCCCAGTGCATTACTTAATTTTATTATCTTATTTTATCTTTTTCGATTCTTTATAATGCACCAGCAAGCCCAAATAACACCGACTAATGCCCAAAAACTGCCTAGTAATGCGTGGTAATGCGCGAAATCTGTACACCACAGTGTCCTCGGCGGTTTACCCCTCGGTATATTGTAATCTAAAAAATTGTTCAGCAAGGCGAAACTAAAAGATTTTTATCTTTACAAGAAAATACCAGATAGAATTAGAATTTAGAGCTTTTATATAACGGAAAGTATAATAGATACGATAAAATAAGTATAAGGTTTTTAAGGAAGAACTGCTATTTTTCGCAGGGCTTCTTTGTCATCTCGATGATGCCTGTACGTCGAATCCGTGTCATGAGGGCGCGATCTGCGACACTAGCCCTATCAACGGGACCTTCACCTGCTCCTGCGCCACCGGATATAGAGGACTGGACTGTTCAGAGGACATTGATGAATGCACACAAGGTTTGATTTTCTTGCATTGCTTCTCATAATCGTATAACAATTTTTTCTGTATTTTTGTATATCTGTGATCCAATGCTCTACATTGGCCTTTCTCGTTAAATGCATAAGTAAACCTTACCTTGAATGAAATTATGAAGCGTTGAGGAACATTTTCGTGCAAAGTTTCGGATTATAAGTTTACCGATAATTACCGATTGTGCAGGAATAAATTCGGTAAAAATGAATCAGTTGATCTCTGGATCGATCGATTAATGTTGCTTTCGGAAATCGCTGTTAAATCGATCCGCATTCGGTTTATCCGTTTCGGCCAACTATTAATCCGCGTTTCGAAAGTAATCTCCGTTTAAATCGAAAGTAATGAGCGTCTCGGTGGTCGGCATAGTTATTAATGACGGGTTCGATTCAAGAACGCAGAAATGCTGGTCAACGGCGCGTTTGTGCACGATCGGGCAACTAACATCGTGAGGATAGGCTATCAGATAGATGTTATCGCGCGGCAAGACCAGTTCGCATTAAAGTCGCTTGGAAAGTAATAAATTGCCCCCGCGACGTTCAAATGACGGTTGGAGAAAATTCGCGAATCATCGAAGCGGCAAATCGCATTTTGTCTTTGCGTGCGTCATACACTCACACGGTTCAAAAATCCTCTGAAGCGGTGAGAATTCCCGCTGAAATGCAACTCGCGCGTTTTTTAAATCGTGCGAAATCGGACGTTGATAAAATCGCCGACGTGAATTTTAAGTGCACGCCGGTTTAATTGGATTTATAGTTTAGAGAGCAATGAACGGTACGATTCACGAACGGAAATAATTCTCGAAATGCCGTAACTTGTCTCGATTTGTTTCACCTTGAAGCTTCTCTTTTGCGCGCACTTAATTCGTAACCGCGATAACTTAAGAAAATCTCAATGAGTCGTTGACGAGATTGACCGATGATCTTGTCGCTCGAAGAGGTCATCGAGCTTCGTAATATTTCCTTCTGATCACGTACGTTCGGGCGTTTGTGTGCCTGCCTGCCTGTCCACCGCGCACGATCTGTGCGTGTTAACATCGTTGCATCAGCGTGGGCTGCAGTATGATAATTGTCAGTCAATGGAGAATACGCGAACAGCTCTTTCTTTCTCTCTTCCTTTCGACAGTAAAAGTAGAGACGAGGGTCAATTTAACGGCATCCTTCATTTGCGTCATTAATAGCCCTGTAAATAAAACCGGGAACCGAATTTCACGTCGTGAACTTTGTAATTACGGCAGCTATATGCTTCCATTTTTATCCATCATCGATCAATTTGCAAGCGAGCCGACAAGAAGCGAATTTCGCGGTGCCGTGGGAGTGGTCGTTACGTTCTGTCGCTTTGAGAGATCATCGTAATGCGCTTAAATGTGCAGGTCGTATCTCTACACCCAGACAAGAGTTTCGTTAAAATCAAACAAATTTTCCTTGGATTTGGACCTTACTAGACTTTTTATTTAATTTCAAAGAAATGATTTCTTTACCTTAACCAAAATTTTATTTGATTAAGACTGACATTTCTAAGAAAATTCATATCTATTTCTTCAAATCTAGCAAACGTTTTCGTGCAAGTAAATAAAAATTTAGTAGATTTAAGGAAACGTGATTTCTACGTATCTCATTTCTTTAACCTAAATAAATCTGTTTTCCGGGTGTAATACTAAATGGATGATATAAAACTTGCCACCAAAATAAAATGGAAAAAAATTTTAACTAAATTTTACTAAATACTTTACTAAAGGTAGGTACAATTAGATACTATACAGGTTCGAAAGAATTTTCTAAGCATGCAGAAAAGTATTAAATGACATAAGAAAAGATATACATTGAATATTGAATTGTATTTAGATGTCGTGTCCGTAAATAATTCAATTAAATTTCCATGATCGTCAATAATTTAATCTCGCGACTCAAACCGTAGTTACCACATCGTTGTGGTGCAGTAAATAGATATGTTGTTAGTCGGAAGTATCGTCGAAGGTGAAAGAAATGAGATGCGTCGGAATCGATATCGCCGCGAAAGATTTTTCACGTGAGATAACGACAAGATCCGCTCGCGGCGAGTATAGTAATCGCTGGATTAATGTACGCGATCCGAGCGTACGGAGGCCCCCACGGTCCGTGCAAATTGAAAACCCACACGGGGCAGATTGGCGTCCGGCGAATCGATCGATTACGATCGATTAATTCGGCGCCGGATCAGCGCGTTATTTATTGTGCCGGATCCTCGTTCTCATCACGCTGTCCCGTCGACGTTCTCGTCATCAAGTTCCGTGATCGATCTATCGCCGGCCGGGAAGCTTTAATCGACACATGTTACGGGTCGTTCGTGGCGGTGTAATCATAAAAATGCACTCGGCTGAACGTCAGCTCTCAAGCAATTTGAACCCATCGAAATTGTATACGATTATGGACAATTATCGCAAAATTTCTTTTCAGTTATATTACTTATTTTATTTTATTATAATTCTCAAATATGTAATCACTTTTTCGCATTCCTTGCATAACGACTCAAAACTTTGATGAGATCAGTTTCAAGTGAATCTACGCGATTGATAATCAGTTATTTTTAGGACTTATAATTTACATATAGATTATTATGCCTCTCAAAATAAAAAAAATCGTATAAATAGAATAAATTCTTCGTAGTATATGACAGTGACATGTCGAGAGCGCGAGAACGACCGAGAGTTTTCAATTTTAAATCTGGATCTCGATGCCAATTCATCATTTCCACGTTGTCGAAGTGACATATCAATTCGTTACACATGCATCGCGTGAACGTCCGCACGGGGAAACGGTGATTCATAATATTATACCGCGTTGTACCCAATTTTCTCTCCCTTTCTCGATCTCTAGCTCCGGGCAAACTTGTCATCCGGAGAGTCGTTCCTCTTTCCCTGGCGTCGTAGAACTGTGATATGCGACCTGTGATTAGCAGGTCCCGCATGATGTATCACGCGGGAGTCCCATTGCCAAGACCGCAACGATTATTAATAATTCTGCGGAGGTAATTAATGGTTGTGCAGAAATTTGTCGAGGCTTCTTTTGCAGCAGCCATCTTGACTTAACTTCATATTTGTCGAGTGCAGCAAAATGTTCACGTCCAGAAATCCTCAACTCAAACAAGTTTGATGAATGCCTATGCAACAGTTCGATAATACGATGCTTCCTACGACTTTTTCTTCTTTCGTTTTACCGTTTTATGTATATCGTCGAATGTTACGATGTAAATAAATCCATCGTCGTGTTAGGATTGCGATGAACGAAACTGCGGAGATTGAGCAGCCGTTCGGCAACGTACGCGATACACGTAGGTAATGGGTTTGTAATTAACCGGTGGACAGGCCAGTAGTCGCGGGTTAATTAATAGTCCGGCCAAGACCCGAGCCCGGCATGGGGCCACACACCTCGCCGATTTCCTTGATGTGTACACACGTGCGCGAGTCCTTATCGATACCATCCGTGAAAATTTGATTCGGTTCACACCGCGCATCGGGATTCTGTCAGTTTCAAACATTATCGACTAAGAAAGAGAAACGAATTTCTGCCGTGCGAGAAATTCGCGTCTCGGATCTTATACACGTAGAAGAAGGTCCTCTATTATAAGATAGGATCCTAATATGAAATAGCGGGGGTTTCTGTTAAATTAATGTCACCAGTTAATTCCACCGTCAATTTGTTGCGGTGCAAAATCTGTTTGGTGGAAAGTTCATTGATAGTTCGTGTAATCGCGGCGAAAAAGGACTTGTGATTGAATTTGGGTGTTGAAAACCTGCTGTCCCATATTAGAAATCTATCTCACAATAGAGGACTTTCCTCTATGTAAGATATACACCGAAATGCAGGAAAATGTAGGAAGCTTAAATTATAATCCACTGACAAATTCTGCGTGAATAAAATGATGCTCGATTTTGCGAGTGACGCGAGCAGCATTAAAATATAACATGTCTTTAGAAGATACTTGCGTAACAAAGTCAGCACTTTACCGATTCAACACACGATATATTCGCGAATGCGAATGCGGAAGGCAAAAACATGCGAGGAGCCTATGTACATTCGCGAGATACCGCACGAATAATCAAGATTGCAATTAAACGAACGTATTGCGGACTGTCGTGAATCGCCGCGATCGTAAACGGGCTGATGATAGGAACGCGAACTCGTTTAAAACGTGGACGGAGGAGACACGGTGGAGCATCCTGAAAACGATCTCGAATAGAAATCATCATCGTTCCCGGCGCCATAATAAATACGCAGCACCGCCCGTAGCGGAACACGGCGGTTAATACGTTTCGCTACGGACAAAGACACTTCATTAATAATCGAAAGCACGCCTTTTGTGTCCGCGGGCCTTCTTCGGCGCGCTCGCCCCCACCTGCTCGCAACGAACGCGCTCTCGTTGCACGCGGTGCGGTGCGGATTTGCTCCTCGCATTAGTAGCCGTTCGTTAATCAACCGTCGTGGAATTAATTGGATTTCGGTGGTGAGCGTTAACAATTGACTCGATTCGCCTTGCGTTGATTGCCACACACTTCGAAAGCGTGCCTTGTACGCGTTATGGATGATAATCGTAGTCCCGTGATAATTATCATGTAGAAACGGCACAATCTAAAATAACTATAATTTATCTGAAAGGCTAATTTTAACTAATTTATGTTTCAACACACTTATTTAATGTATATTTTATCACACATGTGTTCTCTTAACGTATATGCAAGTTCCAAATGTATGCTAATATTATGTGACGCTTCCATTTTGTTTAAAGAATTATACATACGTATTCATGACGTAGCGTGTAACATATAAAAATAAATGCTGAAAATGCGCCGTATCGCGTGTGCCAGTGTCATTTGTCATCGGTTATGAATTATTCTCGTGGCTGATAGCGTTCATTCATTGACCCGACTACACTTGAAATATACCAGGTGCTTCGTTTCGACCGTTAGATATTTTTTCTACGTCCACGTAGCGGGCGATGAATTAGAGAA